CCCCACGGTCACATGAGGAATTCCTGCCTACCACCTTTGGGCCACCTCATCGATTCCTACATGGCGCCCTTCAAGGCCGGGGTCAGGCCTCCAGAAGCTTCCTGACACCCCAGCGCACAGCCATGCCTCCCTTCCCTAACCACCACCACGCTGCTCCCAACACAGCACTTCCACTCCCCGCCGTCTATCCACCGCCCATGCCCCCAGGCTGGTAGGGTCCCTACGCTCCTCTTGCCCTGCTCACACCTCAGCTGGGTTCGGGGCCAGCCCCACGCTCAGTGCTGGATCCAGAGTAAACAGACCCCATCTTGCCCTCAGGGAGCGGCTGTCCTGATGGGGAGACAGGAGTAGTCAAATGCTTACAGCTGTCGTCTATAATTACTAACTGTGATGAGAAAAAGAGGCATCATGGTCACCTATTAGTGAGGTAGGAGGGGTGACAATCTCGTTAGCCAGGATCTGCTAGAATCGGGATCAGGGAGCTTCCTAGGGGCGGGGAAGAATGTGACCTTTATGCTGAGATTTGAAGATGAGGAGAAGTTCATCAGAGAGGCTCAGGCAGAGGACACAGCATATACAAAGGCCCCAAGGCAGGAGGAAGCAAGGTACATCCGGGGAGCAGAAAAGGGCCCTAGTGCCTGGACTGCAGGGAGCCAGAGGAAAACTCGCACAAGATGAGGCTGGGGGGGCTCGGAGGGCCTTGGGGCCGCATGGAGATTTTGGACTTTCTCCCAAGATCCCTGGGAAACTATCTGGCAGCTGGGGGGGATGGGAGGGGGAGAAATGGGAGTTGAGGGGCGGAGGGTGGAGCGGCACAGTGTGGATGCTCAGCAGATGCTCCCTAAGCTAGAGTGAGCACTCCCCAGGGAGCTGTGGAGTTGTGGAGTTGACGGAAGCCCTGGACATGTGGCCTCAGCATTTGGGACTGTGACTGCCCCATCTGGTGGTAGGGCGGGGCCTCCATGGCAGCCTGGAGTGATGTGTTGGAGAACCATGAGCCCCAAGCAATGATCAAGCTCCATGCTATGGCTTTGGTGCCTTGTTGGGACGGACTGAAGCTTTTTTAAAAGACAGATAAGATTCTGAGAAGAGGGCAGCAGCTGATGTAACCTTGGCCCCAGCCCACAGGAGAGCAGCCCGGGAATTGTGGTTTTTCCCCCCCTGTCATCAATATCAAGGACAGATAAGTGGCAAGCTGCCCAACCAGGCTCCCAGTGTCTCTGCAGTCAGCCTGTTGATTCCTGTCAAAAACAACTTTGCTTTGTTTTGTTGGTATTTGGGGTTCATAAATCCCTGAGAGGAGTGTATTCTCCATCCTGAAAGCCACCCGCCATCAGATGAGCCGGCCAGAGATCTCATTGGGAGCCAAGGTCAGCATGTCGGACTTGACATCACTTTTAGAAAATCCATTCTCTGGTTGGTTTGGTTTGCTCAGAAGCAAATGCCGACTGGGGGAAGAAACCAGCACTTTGTAACTTAGTGCCTTGGCCTGAGGGCTTTTGTCCTCTTCCCCGTGGCCAGATGTCACTAATCCTGTGCCAGGGGTGGGGGTGCTGAGGGAGACAGGACTAGTCCTAGACAGAGCCCCAAGGGAGGGAGGGAACCCAGGGCAGCCTGCCTTCTCTCCCATCTGCATCTCTCAGCCGTCCCGAAGACAGAGGCGGCCGGCCCAAGGGCAGGGGGTAAGGGAGACCCCTTCTCTGAAAAAAATATTCCCTCCCTCCATGGGCCCTTCTTCTGAAAGGCTAATCTCCCAGGGGTCACATCCCCCCAGTGCCCCATGCTCTCTGATCCTGGACTTGCTCCAGTCTCCCAGCTGAGTGATTTGGGACAAATTATTTACCCTTTCAGAGGTGCAGTAATATCTGTCTCACAGGGCTGGCGTGAGAGTTAACTATTTAATGTAAAACTAATGGTTAGAGATCTAGAACAGTGCCTGGAATATATCAGTGCTTGGTCAATATGCTTTTCTTCCTCCTTTTCGTCGTCGAGGGAAGACAGCGTCCCAGCCAAATATGAATCTGGTCTCTAACCATTCCATCAAGCAATATCTCTCGACCACTAACTCTGAGCTAGATCTTTATTCGAGGCGCTAAGGATACAGCAGTGAGCACATGGCAGGATCTCGTGGCACTTAGAGAACTTAAGAATATCATAGAATATCAACCACGTAAGAATAAACAGATAAGTATGTAATATATTTGTGAGAAGTGCTCTGAGGAAAAATGGAGAATAAGGGAGATAGAGAGGGACAGGGTGGCCTGGTGATGGCCAAGATGGCACTGAAACAGAGACTCTCATGATCTGAGGGAGTGAGCCATGTGGATAACCAGGGGAAGAGCATTCCAGGCAGAGGGAACAGCCAGGGCAAAGATGCTGAGAGAGAAGGGGCCTGAGACAGCGTGGCTGCAGCAGAGGACAGGAGATGAGGGGCACAGGGGACGGGGTGGGATCACATGGGGCCTTGCAGGTGAGGAGTTTGGCTTTGACGGGGAGGGGGGGTGGGAAACTGATGGAGGGTGTGGAGCTGAGGACTGATGGGATCTGACTCATCTCAGAAGGATCACTCTGGCCACGTTCACTCAAGAGGCCCTGATGGTGGGAGGGCCCTGAAGACACAATTGATGGCCTGGTCTTCACTGGCCCTCACTCCCATGCAGGTCCAGGAGTGGTGGGTAGGTCTGGATTTCCCGACGGCCTTCCTCTTGTTCAGGGCCACCTCCCCTGCACGGGTCAGATGCAGGAAGAGGAGGACCAGGGACCGCTGGGGGGCACCTCCAGGGGGCGCCAGGGAGCCAGAGAAAGTGTTGCCCCACAATCAGGGAATGTGTGTAGCCTGTGCAGGTGTGTGCAGGTGTGTGTCCATGTGTTTTTGTGTGTACACACGCATGCATGCCTGTGTGTACATTTCCATGTGTGTGTGCGTGCATGCATGTTCATGCACACATGTATGACATCAGTGTGTGCGTGTGTGTGTATGTGTGTGTTCATCCCTGAGACAGACTGGAGAGAGGATGTTTCATCTGCAACTCCACTTCTTTGACCCCTCTCTGCCCACCTCCCAGCTCTGCACAGGTGACAGTGGCATCTCTCTGTCTCTCCTCCGTGCCATGCCCTCGCTGGCCAGGGTCCTGTGCTCCTTCATCCCTCTGTGCTCGCCTGACCCTGGCCTCTTCCCCAACCCTAGCTGCTGCTTTCCAGGCTAATGCGTCCGTTTGTGGGCTGGGCTTTGTACATAAGGCACTAACAGATTAATGCGCTCCTCTTCCCCACTCCCACTCAGGGCTATGACACCAAATTCATGTGGCAGATTAGGAATCATGAAGTCAGGACTGGCAGCCAGATGGCCACTTGCTGCCACTGTCCTCTCCTGTACCCAAAGCAGGCACTGCTGATTGATCACACTAGTCTTGCCCACTGAGCCCAGACTTGACCTCAGAATCTTTCTTAACTCAGTGCTCCAGGCAGCACAAATAACCAATTGACATGGGTAGGTGAGATAAAACATATCTAACATCCCTGCTCTAAGGTGTTCCAAAGTTTTACCTCTGGGGGCTCTAATTCTGTGACCCTAATGATAGAACTTTTGTCCCCTGTATCCATCTGCGAAGCAGGAAAGGAAGTGTGGAAGAAACTGCTTGTTCCTGTCCGGTAGGCCTGATTCAGGTAGGGGCCCCGGGCATCACCCCTGAACACTCAGAATGGGGGTCAGTGCCCCGTGGGACGTTCAGGGGTATGAGCCTCAGATTCAGGTCCCTCTCCACAGGCTCCGGGACTTGGCAGGTCAGGTCGCCTCTCTGACCCTCGGCTTTCCCTCCGCTGCTCGCCTCACAGGGCCGTCATGGAGAGCGATTGAAAGCATAAATGGGACCGTTCTTTGACATTTAGAAAGTGCCCTACACATGAAAGAGGCGACCATGGTCTTCTGTCTGTTCTGTTCTGTTCTGCTGATTGCTTTTCACTCATCTGAAGTTCCAGCTCGTGGTAGCATGCCACCCCTTAAATCCCATGGGTCCCAAGTTTGCTGGTCCTGTTCGTAGTGACGTGTGACAAGGCTGGACATGCCTGAAAATGCCTTCTGGAGGGAGGGAGTCACAGAGCAGGCGTCCCAGATCCTAGTTCAGATGCTGCTGCTGACCTGCTGTGTATCCCTGGACTTGCTTCTTAACCTCTCTGGGGCTGAGTCCCCCTCTGCCAAATGTGGATGATACTAGCTCATTCTCCCAGGGTCCTAGGCGGGTAAATGGTGGCGGATGTAAGGAGACCCAGAAACCCAAACTGCATACAGATGTGAATCATTATTTCTTGTGATTTGCCACCGGAATGCCAAAGGGAGAAAGCATGTGGCTTCACACCAAGGCTGTCCACCAGGTGGAATCAGTCCACTGACATGGGAGTTAGCCAAACTGAGGAGACCTTTGGGGCCAGGGCAAAAGGGCTATGGGACTTTCTCTCTGCTTTGCAGCAGCTGCCCCAGCCAAGCAGTGGCCCCTGCTGAAGGCAGGCAGAGCTCGGCCGACTGGTTCAGAAGCAGTGCCGGTGCCGTGGCCACTAGGGCCCCAGGCTTGGAGGGAGGTGGAAAGTCTATTCCCTGACTCTTTAGCAGGCAGAGGTGAGAGAAGAGAGAAGGAGGGGGAGGAGGGAGAGAGGAGAACACAGAAGAGGAGACCAGCAGAAGCTGGAGGAAGGAGTGATGGAGGAGGAAGGGAGCTGTCTTCCCCGAGAGACTGGGAATTCTCTTCCCATTGCGACTGGGTCTCCCTATCAGACTATGGCTCCCCTAGGCAGGAACTTGGCCTCTCCCATCAGACTGTGGGCTCCCCCAAGCAGGGACTATGGCAGCCACATATGGGGGCTCCCCCAGGACAGGGGAACCTATGCCCCCCGCAGCCAAGATCCTCTGAGGCAGGTGACCTGCCAGGGGGCCTGTCACACTGCTGGCGCCTGGACTTCTGCCCACCTGACTCCTCGACTGTCCGCTCCTCCTCTCCCTGCCCCAGGGTTCACGGACACCTTCAACATGGACACCAGGAAGCCTCGAATCATCCCTGGCTCCAGGACGGCCTTCTTCGGCTACACGGTGCAGCAGCACGACATCAGCGGCAAGAAGTGGTGAGTGAGCGCGGCCGCCGCCCCCTGCCCCAGACTCCCCACACCGGCCCCTCCCTCGGCCGCCTGGCTGGCCCTCACCTGTGGATGCCCCCGTTTCCAGTGACTTGACTTCTTGTCCTGGCAGGCCCAAGGCTGCATAGGCTCTGCTCCTGACTATGAAAGCTTGAGCATCCCATTTTGCAGGCCCTCCATCCTCTCACCTGAGAAATGGGAATGAACAAGCCCTCCTTCTCCAGGTTGTGTGACAGCACAGGCAGCAGGCACCCTGGACCAATAGTTCCCCCTCCCATCCCCTTCCAGGGCCTCAGTGTCTCGTCGACTGGGGCAGCGTCTCTGGTCTTGGCTGCTTGCAGAGCTGTTGGGGTGTCTCTGAGGGGACGGACGCGAGCCCACAAGCTAAAACACAGGCAGTGGCGGGGCAAAGGGAAGTGAGAGCCAGACCGAGTGGAGGGAGAGGGCCAGAAGGATCCCAAGGAGCCCTCTGGGGCGGAGGGGATCAAGAGGAGGGACGAATCCACCTCCAATTTTTAAAAGTAACCTTATTAGGTCGTATTTTACAGATGATATAATTCACTCATTTCAAGTGTACAATTCAATGGTTTTTAAAAGTGAATTTACCAAGTTGTGCAGCCATCACTACACATCAGTTCTAGAATATTTTCCTCACCCCAGTGGGATGCCTCGTGCACATTTCCTGGTGACTGCCATTCTCCGCCCTCTGTGGGGTTCTAGCTGACAGGAGGCAAGGCCTGCCCTCCTGAAGTGGAAAGGGTAGGCCTCTGCGGGGCCCTCTTAGGAGCTCTTGCCAAGTCAACGGACCCCAGGAACACCGCGCTGTGTCCTCCGCTGCCCTCTCCCCCGTCTGCCTCTGCCCACCCTCCTGATCTCTTCTTCCGCTCCCCTTGCCTGTTTTCTTGTGCCCAACCCTCTAGCCAAATTGCATTATTTCAGTTTTTCCATTCTCCAGACCTGCTTTGCACGTGCTGTACTCTCTCCCCGTGATGTCCTCTCTTACCCTCCCCATTCACCCTACCCCACCATTCGGATCTGGCTAATTCATATACGTATCTTGTGTGTGAAGGAGTATCTTACTAATTATCTTTCTATTGAGCTAGAACTTAGATACAATAAAGTGTAGACATCTTAAGTGTCCAGCTCAGTGACATTTTATGTGTGTGTATGCCTATGTAATCACTTCCCAGAATATGACATAGAACATCCAGCTCCCCAGAAAGCTCCTTTGTGCCCCTCACCCAGTCAGCGCCCCTCCAGGTAACCACTGTTCTGACTCCCGTCGCCATAGATTTGTTTTGCCTGGGTTTGAACTTCATCTCAATGATATCATACAGTAGGTACACATTTGTACCTGACCTGTTTTACTCAACATTATGTCTTTGAGATTTAACATATTGTTGTATGTATCATAGTCCATGCTTTTTCACTGATGTGTAATATTCCACTGTGGCAATATACCACAATTAATTTTTTTATTCTGCTATTGATGGATATTTGGATTCTTTCCATTTTGGGCTATTTCAAATAGAGATGCTATTAACATTTGTATGCGTGTCTTTTGATGGACATAAGTATTCATTTTTATTGAGTATATACTCAGGAGTAGAATTGCTGAGTTAAACAGTAGATATATGTTTAGCTTGAGTAGGATCTGCCGAGCATTTTTTTCCAAAGTGGTTTACCAATTTAAGCTCTTTCTAGTAAGATAAGAGAGTTCCAGTTGCTCCACATCCTTAATAGCACTTGGTGTTATCAGTCTTTTTAATTTTAGCCATTCTGGCGATATGTAATGGTATCTCATTATGGGTTTAATTTGCATTTCTGTAATGACTAATGATGTTGAGCAACTTTTTGTAAATTTATTGGACATTTTGGTATCCCATTTGGTCTGATGAGTCTTTTGCCTATTATAAAAATTGTGTTTGTATCTTTTTCTTATTGATTTATAGGACTAAAAATATATTCTGCATACAAATCCTTTGTCAATGAGAAGCATTGCAAAGAACTTCTCCCAGTCTGTGTCTTGCCTTTTCATTCTTCTCATGATGTCTTTTTATGAACAGAAGTTCTTAACTTTAATCAAGTCTAATTTATCTATCTGTTTTATGGTTAGCATTTTTTGTGTGTCCCATTTAAGAAATCTTTGCCTCTCCCAGGATCTTGAAGATATTCTCCTCTGTTTTCTTCTAGAAGTCTCACATTTTTGCTTCCTCATTTAGGCCAATGATTCATATCAAATTAATTTTTGTGTGAGGTGTGAGATAAATCTTTTTTCTTTTTCTGTGTGGATATCCAATTGATCTGGCACCATTTGTTAAAAGACTATTTTCCCCACTGAATTGTAGTGTCATCTTTGTCAAAAATCAGGTGACTATATATTTGTGGGTCTACTTCTAGCCTCTATTCTATTCCATTTGTCTATTTATCTAAGTTTTCACCAGTGAAAAGCTGCCTTGGTTACTGTAGCTTTAAAGTAAGTCTTGAAGTCAGGTGGTGTGAGTTCTCCCTAATTGTTCTTGGACAGATTGTTTTGGCTGTGCAAGGTCCTTTATATTTCCTTATGAATTTTAGAACCAGCTATCAATTTCCCCTAATCACACTTGCTGAAAATTTGATTGGGATTGCATTGAATTTATAGATCAATTTGGAGAGAAATAAAATCTTAATAATACTGAATCTTCCAATCCATGACATGTATATCCCTCCATTTATTTAGTTTTTTTAAAAGTTTTCTCTCAATAGTGCTTTGAAGTTTTTAGTATAAAATTCTTACAGATCTTTTATTACATTAATTCCTAGTATTTGATATTTTATGCTAATTAAAATAGAATGATCTTATTTCATTTTCTAATCTTTTCTGCTAGTGTACAGAAAAATGCAATTGATTTTTGTATATTTACATCATATCCAGCAACTTTGCTAAATTCCTTGACTATTTTTTAATAGTTGTCTTATAGATTCTTTTGACTTTTCTACATATACAAGCAGATGAGCTGAAATAATTACAGTTTTATTTCTTATTTTCCAATCTTCCCAGCTTTTCTTTCTTTTTCTTTCCTGACTGCAGTGGCCAGGAGTTTCAGTACAAGGTTGAATAGAAGTTGTGATATGGAACATGCTTTCCTTTTTTCCCTTATTGGAGAGAAAACTTTCAAAACTTCATAATTAGATAAGATATTAACTGCAGTTTATTCATTTGTTTGTTTGCTAAGGAAGTTTTCTTCTATTCCTAGTTTTCTGAGTTTGTGTGTATGTGTGAATAGATCTTAAATTTTATCAGATACTTTTTATGCAAAGGTTGAGATGTTATACGGTTCTTCTCCTTTATTCTGTTATTATGGTTAATTATACTCATTGATTGATTTTTTTTGAGTATTAAATCAAATTTGCATTCCTGGGATAAACTCCACTTGGTCATCATGTATTCGTATATATATTGGATTCCATTCATTAATATATTCTCAGGAATTTTGTTTGTATGAACATGAGATATATTGTGCAGCTCAACATATCCAATGTATTCTTAATTATAGATATTTGATTTTGCAGTTCCTAAATTTCCATTTGATTCTTTTTTATAGACTCTACTTCCATTAAAATAATCTTTCTCCCATTTTTCCATCTTTTACTCTATTTTTTTTTAAACACACTGATCATAGTTATTTTGAAGTCCTTGTTGGCTACCTTAAATATCTGGGTCATCTTTAGGTCTGCTTTTAGTTACTATTTTATCTTATGGTTACCAGTCACTTTTTCCTGATTCTTTGTCTTTAATTTTTTTTTAATTCTGTGAATGGTACACTGTAGAGAATCTAGATTATGTTACCTCCCTTTAAAGAAGGCTACCTTTTCTCTGACAGGTGATTAAAATGCTGGTGAGACCACCTACATCTTCCCATGGCTTGATTTGGAGCTTGGTTTGCACAGGTGTCATCTAGTTTTGCCCTCATTCCTTGGGTGCAGTCTTTACTCCTAAGGCATGGATTTTCTGGGGTCTCAACTGAAAGCCCACAGTATCCATTAAAGTTTCTCCACTCTGACTGGGCAAGAACCCCAACATCTCCTGGGCACTGAGCGGCCTCTAAAATCTCTGCCCTCAGTGGCTGTTCTGTGATAGATTTTCCAGGGTCTCACTCTGTGCATGTACAGCTTAGGAGTCAGCTGAGGATCTGAAGGAAACTTTCAGCAGGGTTTGGGAGCTCTTTCTCTGTGGCTGTCTCCTTTCTTCATGCCCCCACCAAATTCTAGCCATCTTTGCAGCCCCAGCTCCAATCAGTTTCCTCCACCCAGAAAAACTGCTACTCTCTATTTGGACTCTGTTCCCTATGCTCAGTAAGGAAAGTACCCTCATGGAGAGAGCCAGGTGAACGTCGGGTTGGCACCTGTCCTTCCCTCTTGTCCAGTACTGAGCTCTGCAATGACTGCCATCCAGTGCCTGCACATAGTTGTCATATGTTTTGTCTCACTTGTGCAGTTGTTAACAGCTATAATTGAAAGTCCTCGTTCATATTCTTTTATCAACTTAGATACCATTTCCTCTGAGAAAACATTTATCAAACCGGATAGTAATTGCCTGTTTCATTGTCTTTCTTCCTGAAATCAAGGGTGCAAGCCCTGGCGTTTAGTAGATGCTCAAAAGAACATACTTTGCAAGGCTGAATTAATGATATGAACCTCTCTCAACCAGCCCAGACATAAGATGCACAGCATCCAGATTCTTTACATTGTATGAAGCAATAAAGATTAAATGCAACTGGCTTTTCCAAGATAGAATTTATTTTGACCAATATTTGTTTATTAAGCTTCTGTTAAGAAATTTTACTAGACTGCAAAATATTGGTATGAGTAGATATGGTTTTACTCTCAAATAACTTACAGATCAGTTGAGTAGACAACACTAATATCCTTGAAATAATTAAAAAACAATACAAGACAATGTTAATTATGTTCATCTTTGTAAGGCCACTTTCTCCATGAAGGCTTTC